TACCTGTACTATAGCCCATGGTTTTTTCAAAAAATGGCTTCGAAATCACCCCAAATTTTATTACATTTTTCGATACATATTGATGTCCTTATGCTGTGTAGCAAGTTTGAGGCGATTCCAACTTCAATTTTTCAAATTACGGCCATTTTAAGAAAACATCAAAATTCTAAAAAATACCCAAGGCTATAGCCTATGGTTTTTTCAAAAAATGGCTCCGAAATCACCCCAAATTTTTATTACATTTTCTGATACATATTGATATCCTTAAGCTGTGTAGAAAGTTTGAGTCAATTCTGATTAGAAATTTTCAAGTTATGGCCATTTTAAAATATTCTAAAAACTAGATTTACTGATACTTGTAACATTAATACAACAAATGAAGGAATGCCTTGAGTGACCTAATGCATCTCATTACAGGCTCTTGTCAATACAGTCATTGATGCTACTAAAGCTTATCGCTCAAACGTTGCCTCAACAATGCAAGGAGCAGGAGCTAAGCTAACATTACCAGTGTCACTGAGACTACTACCTTTATTCATACTGAGCTTATTGAAGAATGTAAGTCATGAACAACATGTCTGTATTATGACATTTTAACCTCTCTCTCTCCCTCCCCCCTCTCTCTCCCCCTCTCCCTCCTCTCTCTCTCTCCCTCCCCCTCTCTCTCCCCCTCTCAAGATTGCCTTCACTCTTAGCAATAGACAGAATACCGACTGTAGGTCGGCCACCATTAGTACTATACTGACATTACCTCTGGACTGGCTAATCTCATTCTTCTATCCTAAACTATATGCACTTCACACACTATCAGATAAGGTTACCTGTATAGTAATCATTGCATGGAACAGTGTACATTCTGTATAATAGTATAATTATTTAATAATAATGATATTAATTATTTATTTGTTAACAGGATACAGTGGATTCTGATGGGGAGGAGCTCTTAGCTCCGCCCATTTTACAACTCTCGGCTGAAAAACTAACACGATATGGAGTGTTCTTAATGGACTATGGAACAGTATGAGCACTTGAAAAATAAAATGAATTATTTTAATAATTTTTTTTCATATTTTAGGGTATTTATATTTGGGTCAGTAAAGAAGCACCTGCTGATGTTATTAATAATATTTTTGGAGTTCCTCATTTTGGGGCAATACCTGAATCAATGGTAAGGACTCTCATGAATATGAATGAGGTTTCTAAGAATAGTATCGTGTGTTTATTAATAGTCACAACAATGACATCATTGTTATTTTTAGACCTCCCTCCCTTTGCTTGAGAATAATTTGAATCGATTAACCAATTCGCTAATTTGTCAGTTACGGTTGTCACGGCAACACTTTATGCCGTTACTCGTCATTCGGTAAGAAAAAATATTTTTAAAATTATAATTTTTACAAATTAAAAAAATTTTAGTGAGGATGGCCCCCATCGTTTGCTATTTATTAATTACCTGATTGATGATAAAACTGAAGACGGCACTTCTTATTATGAATTTCTGTCTCACATCTCTCGGCAGTTAACAAAATAATAAACTGTCCATTAGCAGAAGGCAGGGCTCGTTGTGTGTTAATTAATTAATTTATTATTATTATTAATTATTATTGCAATTAATGAGATTTCTCTATACTTGATTGCTAATGGTTTGCGGCTAATTCTAATGTCCTCGTGTGGATTTATACAAAAATGAATGTATAAAAGTAGTTTATATTTTCAGTACAACACTGAGCAAAAAAAGTAGAAGATTTCAGTGATTCATTCTTTAATTTTGTGAGCAATTGTCTCATCCCTTGGCTTCTTGAGGAAACCGATGATGTCAG